ACGACGCGCTCTATTTATTGATACTTAAGTTTTTCGCCCATAGCAGTACACCCGCTTTAGAGAAACTTTTAACCTCCAATTCAACAAACCACGGTGATTGCACACATACGTGAACCATCGCGCTTTACACGATGAATTGAGAGAATCAGGAGTGTCCTGTGAAGTGCCTCTGAAAGCTTCAGTATGGTTGAGGGTGGGTGTCTAGGGTTACGACTGGTCACCCTTCTCTGTTGCACCTCGCGACATGCTCCCATATGACTGCCTTCTCGTGGCGGTGTTTTCCCCACCAATGTGAGATGACGAAAAGTCAACATATCGGGTTGGGGGACCACTGGTAGTAGTTCATCTAGTGGAGTTGGCCAAAAACCCTGATTTCAAACCAACCAAGAGGTGTACGAACCACACACACCTGCCGGGTTGTGACAATGGCTACCGGCTCGATTGGGCACCTTAGACTTTTGACCCCGTCTGACGGGCATATGATCTGATGAACTGGACACCAACCCCCAATGGATTGCGGTTTTCGTACACCGCCCAGCTGCTTTAGGAGTCAGGCTTTTTGCTATCCGAAGGCTTCGGTTGTGATGTCTCAAGAAAATTTACCTGCCTTGGTTTGGTCAACCTGGCAGTATTCGGCCCACATGCAAATCATGGAACGTTTTTCTTTTTAAAAGGCTATTGTACCATGATTTGTTTGGCACAGTGCCAGGTGCCAGACGTGTGTGAAATATATATATATATATATATATATATATATACCTGTGGAGTTTGTCTTAAGCGATCGGAGGAAACTAATTTGGGTAGGTGCGTATGGCCCCTTGTCTCATAAAATATCAATTGAAACCAAAATTACGATCATTGTTCAAGTGAGACGAACATGTGGACGAAACTCATGTTATCCTGAATAGCCTGTAAGGTGAATTTCGTATACCTGCAAATAGACCATGGGTTGTGGTAAACCGCCGGAACAAGCTGAAGAGGATATCGTATAAAAAAACAGAATGCACGAATCTGATCAAAACGAAGCGCACTTACCGAAAGGCGTATTTTGATGCACTCGAAACGTTGTCGGTCCCCCAGTTCCACTGGCTGTGTTCAACAACGCCGAATTAGCATCATCCGATCCAGTAATAAGAATAGGTGTTCCGTGTGGTCCACCACCGTTGCTCCCGTCGTCGGTCATGCTGCCATCAATGGTCGGAGTTCGGGCTTCCAATCGCTTTTTGGCCGGTTGTCTTGGAGTAGTCTTTCCACTGTTACTAGAACCTCCTCCTCCTCCACTCGTGCCGCCAAGAGCTGTACCATTGCCAAACATACCGCTGGTCCCAAAACCCGACGGACCATTTGATAGAGATTGATGTGAGGGATGGTGTACAGGTAAGGCCAAGGGTTGGTGCAACAAGAGCATTGTGTTTGATCCAGGAGAATTGGTGGAGAGATTGGCGGACTGGAATGTTTTGTTTTCTAGATGAGTAGCTTCGGAACTATGCGTAAGTGTGAACGGGACATCGGAATCCATGACTGTCAGGTGTCCGGTTGGACCGACCAGGGGATTGCACATGGTCATGGGGACCGGTTCAGTGGTCTGAGTTAGACAAGGAAGCACGGTAGAATTTGGCAAAAGCACCGGGGCTTGGAGTGTGGAATCGGACAAACGATGATGTATGGATGGGTGTCGTTGATGTGGGATTACGGGCACAGACGTATTCATGTCTGAGATGAGTAGAGGTGGACTTGAAGAGGAGGGGACCGGTTGATGTTGTACATGAGGGTGGTGATGGTGATGATGATGATGTGGGGCATGGGATACCCGAACTGGAGAAGATGGAAACGAGCATGGTGAGTCGGACGGTGCTGGACGTTTGAGGCTCCGCCTTTCCAGTCGATGTGCAACACTGCCAGTTGGCACGCAGACCGAATTCGGAGAGTTAGACATGCCGTCTGTTAGCGGATCATCTAAACAGGACTGCTTCAGTATATTGTTGGCCGTTGAATTCGCGGGGATTGTGACTGCATTCGAATTGACCAAGGTGGATCGTCCAGGTAGTACAGATGAGGAGGAAGAGGAGGACGACGACGAGGAAGATGAACACACTGTTTCAGCTGCGCCGCCCACAGTACCGCGGGGTGATTGAGTACTGATTATCACAGAACCCAAATGCGAATGGGACGTGGCTGGATTGTGAGGCCGGAAAGCAGCCTCGTTGGGTTCCACTTTTACTCGGGAATTCGGAGGATGGTAGCCGTTCTAAAACGTATAAATGATGTACCGTTAATAGGACTGCTGATGCATAGATATGGCTGTGTTCTTTAGATCTAACACCCATGGATGCCAAAAGAAACATATTAACCAAGTAACCCATTTCATGAAAGAAAACCCCGTCCAAAGAGCACATAATCCTATGAACCAAACACCGGGCCTCAATGAACCGAGCTTACCAAAAGCCGCCCCACCGCCATGCGGGTCAAGATTTTTCTAGTCGAAGACTGCGGTTGTAATTCCCTCAAGAAAATTCACTTGTACTGGCCTGGATAACCTGGTAGTATTTTGTGTAACGATGATTGTTCTGTAATTTGTTAGACACAGCTTGTACTTGGACGTGGGAAAATATATATAACTATATTGGGTTAACACGCAACAATTTTTAAACATGACAAACACCGAAAAGATCGAATCGTCCCTGTTTGATTAGGTTTGGACCAGGAATATGCACAAAAATCTGTACGAAATCGGGAATATGGGCATCAGGTATACAATAGATATCTTTTCTACACCGCGCGAAAAACATTTAGCGCACTCCCTCCCCCATCCACGGTTTCTTGTAGTTTCGCACAGACGCTTGTGAGTGGGATCGTAAAGTTGAGTGCGTCTACGTAACATTACTCCTTGCTGATCTAGTATGCACAAATATTTGCACTCTGATTGATTTAATTATGTAATATGTGCTTTAGGTGAGAGAAACTCTTTTAGCGCCGCCCCCCCTTCATGGAGTTCAATGATTGCGAACAACACCGCGTGACCGAATACAACGAACTATGTTGTACGCAACCGAAAGACATCAGTCATTCACACATTCAAGACAATGAGATCTTCTATCGTTTCAGTTTTGAATTTCTNTCTATTTAGCAGGGATATATATATATATTCAAAGGAGGTTCAAATGGGGATTGTGAGCGAAACATTTAATGGCGTGATATTGCGATTCAGCAGCAAGATTCTACTAACATGAACTGCATTTATGTCTGGGTAATTTTGTTGGTAAATGGCCCTTCTCCGAACTTCCGGGATTGTAGGGAGTCGCTTAAAGCTCTGATGCATGAGTCACCCGTTTGATAACCGTCATTCATGATGAAAATAACACTTCGAAGAACCGCACAGCAAAATTCTGAAGACAAGGGGAGTTGACCTTGTCACAGATACACCAGGCCATCAAGATCGTCCAAGTTCAAAGCCTCATCAATTCTCATCATCACATTATTTCACCCAACCTTCAGTTTGATCAGACATTTTACCTGGTCGACTCGAGCCACAATGTGATAGTCAGTCATTCAACGCAATGCTAACATCCATATCGCAAGTGTATTACTGCGTGTAGCACGCGCTTTTGGTCTCCTTCTAGAGAAGTTTTTCATCGTGATCCATGTATAACAGCATGAATTGTTGGGGAATCGTGGATAACTATTCATGATCGGTGATTTGCATGGCAACCGTCCTTATACTTATTCTTGAGATGTATCTGTAGGTCAGCACTTTCTGCACGATTCATGTCAAACAGCCGCAGACCACGCCACATTCTCCTGTTTACGTGAGAGATTAGTGGAATGGATTGCGTAAGCTTTGTTAAAACGAGCCCATTACAGCGATGAAACGAGAGGTAATGACGCCGATCGTTATCGTACTACGCATGAGTGCTTTTCAGTAAATGGCAGGAGGGTGAAGAAGGCTCCAAAAGGCCGTCCGCACACTATATTCACTGGGTATGATTTTTGAGGTCAGTATTCAATGGGAAATTGGGTGATGGTTGAGTTCGGGCTGAAAAAGATCTGCCTGCCAACAAACTATATCGTGCACGCTTACAAGCAACACATTTCGAAATTGAGCTTTGAAACTAAAGGCAGGATAGCGCGAGGCGGTTAGCCCTAGCAACGTGATTCACCTTGTTATGACCGATTGAAGAACGTAAACTGGCATAAAAAGTCTCGTTCGTTGCGGGCACATTACTGCTTGAGCTATGACAATAATGTGCACTAAAAACCATTCAGTCCGTAAGAAATAACGCTACTATATACCTGAGGAGCAGAAAATATGGACTTGTTGAGGTGGTTTAAGGTTACTGATCAAACACACGAATTGGTATCAACCTCAGCGAGACTTGGCAAGCGTTTGGAATGCAGACTTTCGAATAGGAAAACATAAACTGGAAGGGTAACGTGCCCCAGTTGAAGAGAGTGAGAGTGTGAAACGAAACGGATTTTGGAATTTGAGCATAAGACAGATGCTGCAACAGCGAGCATCGGGAACTGATAATTTCTCGGGCTGTCACGTGTTCAGTGCGTGGTTCAACGCTGCGCTTGTGAATTGTTCGAGAATTCTCCCACGTGGAACTTTATTGTTTTTTTCCTTATGCGACTTTAAAAATGACTGCGTTGTTGAGCAGACACAGTGGTATTTTCCAATTGCTCCCGCTGAACAGACCACTACCAACTAAAAGCAAGGGAAGTAAAAGTGACAAAAAAACGTTGGTCGAATGCGTTTCTGAGGAACTGAATATACACGTATAAACAACACTCGTTTGAATGTACCGTTAAAAAAATGGTTAACTACTTTTACTATAAACCGATGTACAATAGTATAACCTCTGGTAAAAAACAGCAATGGGCATTCATTAGCTGCAAGTACTTCATAACTGCAGTAAGGATTGATTATATATATATATTCTCGGAAAAATGACTGAGTGGGATCCTATCGTCATTGTTGCTTACCACGGAGTTCATATACGAAATTAATCATATGATATACAAAGATATCTGATCGAATCTAGCAGAGTTCTGCACAAACGTGCTAAGGAACTAAAGCGAAAAATATGGAACAGGTCGAATAGCGTGGAACAAAGAGCTACCCTGACCAGCAACATTAGCGTCGCGAGCAACACGGTTATCACCTTGATCCTCATACTCCGGTCAGATAAGGATTTTGGAGAACTCGTGCAGCAAGAAATGAATGCAGTGCAAGTGAAGCGCCCTAGCCCAGGTGCCAAAGCTTTGAGTAGATAGCGTGAGACCCAATCAACACACGGAAATCATCCTATCAATGTGGAGTGATGGTAGCACGCGACGGGCAAACAGACATTCGCAAGTCCGAGAGAGCAGATAGAGTCATGCCATACGGACACACACACGCGCACAATCAGCCAATCGTAAAGAAAACCAGATAAGCACGGGACCAGTGCTGCGCGTTTTGAAACGAACTGTTTCCAAGATGAAAGGAGATCAAACCTACTGATTGGGTGACATCCGAGGGAACACGCAATACAATGAATCTGGAACTGATGTAATCCCGATTGATATATTTTCACACAGAAGGGGTTAGCCCCAACCCTTTTTTCCTCGAAATCTGTTTCTCAATGCACATGTAGCCGCGTAGCTTTCATGGGTTTATACTTGCAAAGGTAATAGCAAAAACGGCAGCAGTAGCAGCAACAAAATCAACGGAATATTTAATCAACTCATCTAAGCATCAAACCTGAAGTGTAAACGAAGACGAGCAGGAAAGGGAACAGCGCCAGAACGTTGGCTAGTTCGAGGGAGAAAGCGCCTATTGAATCTGTTAATGGCATCAACGAAGAGTAGCGGATAGGGAGGGATATAGCAGGAAGAGCACTCGAATACAGTATGGTCCTTTGCATACACTGGGTGTGTCCCGTGGCAATATCAAACTGATCGGTGCAAGTAGCTAATTTGAGCTGGTAATCCTGAGAGTGTGCAAACCCGAAACTTTACACTTGGTTAATTAATTGGAAGCCAACATAGACAGAACACGGTAAAGGTTAGACAACACAATACTCAAAATATCATCCTGCAACAAGAGTTAAGCTGGGTGCATTTGAATCGTCTCAGTACTAATACAACATCGGTTTGAGAATAAGCAAAGTGCCAACAGGAAAAATGCAGTCCATCTTCAGTAAGGGTACTGATAAAGTACACAAATGGAGATGAGCGACGAGGCCGAGATTAAGACAGATGATCTTGACTATCGCCGATCATTGTTTCGGCATTCTATGATTACTTTTTTATATCTTCCCTGTTTTGCAGATGGCTTGGAAACCCTTCCACGTAGAACCCACTATCGGGAATGTCCTGTCTGTGCACTGGGGCAGTGATGTGTGGCTACGGATTGTGCGGCCTTATGGGACGATGCTACTGGTATAAGAACTGGGACCGCGTTGCCCAGAGTCAACCTCCTACCAGTGTTTCGAATGGATTCAGAGCTAGTGTCGGCCCTGCATACGGCAGATACAACACCCACACTGGTTACTGACTCATTCTCTGGTTGGCAGAAAGAAACGAAAACTGAACGAAATGAAAATGACCACCAGTTTCGGACCATGTATTACACCTGTCACGTGCAGCTGGATCCGT